GAGAATTTCTTGACAGAAATACTTGATAACTAAATTGTCCTGACCTCGTTCTCGAATCTAGAACCCATTCAAGCAAGTCACCAGCACTCTCACAAAATATATTGCGGCCAATATAAAAAAAATGTGCAAGAATCGAGCTGGCAACTTTATTATATTTGTAATGGCAATATTGAAAACAAATTATAGATACCCTAAATTCAAGCACTACATTATGAAGCTTAGTGGAAGGTTTAATTTAAAATCAGTTAACCGCGAATTCGAAACCGCAAACCACTTCATCAGTACAAATTTGACCCTATATATTTGTTCATATTTTAATTACTGTTTATGATAATGACAGAACAACAATGTTTCGCACAAATTTTTTGCTTAAAGGTTTTTCAACCGACTTCCTTAAAAAGGAGAAGGTTCTCAATTCGACTGTATTTTTTTTATTACTCTAATTAAAAATAAACTACCATGGGTACGTTCCTAGTCATTATGAAATGTGAAATCTGTGCAATATATGAAATAATTTTTAAAAACAATAATTGTTACTTATTGTGTACAGAAAAAACTTAAAAGCATAGTTGTTGAATTTTTTATCTGTTTGTCTGTATGTCTGTTGGTCTGTATATCTGTTTACTTTCTCGCAAAAATAACTGAATATATTTTAACTAATGTATATAGTGATAACTTACAGACTCCCGAACTAAAATTAAGACTATTTAAATAAGAACCTTCAAACATTTCTAAATCATAATTTTTCATAAAATTTTTGCCAACGTCAAAACAAAATTTATTTATTTATTTATTTATTTATTTATTTATGTACCATAAAATATACGTTATACAAAATAAAATAACAAAATGTTGACAAAGGATAACTTATCTCTTTAAGAGATTTCTTCCAGAAACCCTTCAGAAGTGAGAAAATAAGTTAAAATAGTGCGGAGTAGGTACAGTACAGCATTGAATGGAATTGTCTTAATATTAAAATACATATATTAACTAAATATTATGATTATACAAATATATATATATATTCACATACATATATATATACATACATACATACAAACATATATACTTACATATAAATACATACTAATCTACAATAATTTATGTCGAATTTGATAAATAGTATTGTTTAATTCTAAACTTAAATGTTGAGAATGAGGGATCATCTTTGAAAATATAATCAGGCAGTGAATTCCACAAACTTGTTGCCGTAACAAAAAAAGATTTTTTATAGAATGTAGTATTGTAGTGAGGAACCACTAATTTGGGCAAATTGACACAAGAACGCACTGGTCTGCATCTAGGGGACACTAATGTGAAGCGTTCACTTAAATAAGAAGGTGTAGAAGTCTTCAAAATATTGTAAAGCACACATAATACTCGAACGTTTCGGCGAAAACGAATGGGGAGCCACTTCAGTTGCCGTCGGAAAATACTTATATGATCAAATTTGTGCAATCCATATATAAAACGGATGCACAAATTCTGAAGGCGATCTAGCTTGTCGAGTAGCTCCTCGGTTGCATCAAGATAGCAGACGTCGGCATATTCGAGTAGAGGGATTAGCAGTGATTGAGCTAGGGTAATTTTAGTTTGAAACGGAAGAAAATTCTGTAAACGTCTCAAGGAATGAAGTGAATAATGTACGCGCTTACTGACCTCGTTGACATGCGCAGCCCAGGACAGGTTGCAGTCGATTGTTAAACCTAAGTTTTTACACGTGTCTGAGATATTGATGCAAGTGTTATCGTAGATGATGTCAGGCAGATTGTTGAAGTCGATTTTGTTCCGCAACTGCTTACTACCAATGATCATGGCCTGAGACTTTATTGGATTGACAAGGAGTCCGAAAGACTTTGCCCAATCTTTGATTCTTGCCAAATCAAGGTTTATCCTGTCTATTTCAGACGCTAAGTCCCTTACCAAAGCATGTCTATAAAGTTGCAGATCATCCGCATATAGGTGGTAGTTAGAAGAGAGTACCTGTGGGAGTTGGTTAATAAAAATTGAAAAAAGCAATGGCTATAACACACCACCCTGGGGGACGCCTGCGAAGAGATTGGACCACTCTGAGATAGTCTCGTCGCAGTAGATTCTCTGCTGGCGATCATAAAGATATGATTTAAACCAATCAATCACAGAAGACGAGAAGTTAAGGGAGGCAAGGATAGAAAGTAAAACATCGAAGTCCACTGAGTTAAAGGCATTACTAAAATCAAGCAAAATAAGAATAGTCACTTTCTTATTATCCATGGCGGAACGAATATCGTCAGTGACTTTTAGCAAAGCGGAAGTCGTACTGTGCGAAGGACGGGATCCAGACTGAAAAGCATTTAATAGGTTATTTCGTAATAAGTACTGACACATCTGCTTAGATACTAAGCCTTCAAAAACTTTCGACAAAATGGGAAGAATTGAGATAGGACGAAACTGTGAGGGAACAATAGGATTGGGAGATTTAGGTAAGGGGATAACATGTGCTAACTTCAAAGCCGCGGGAAATGAGCTAGAAGACAATGAAAAATTAAAAATGTGAGTTAATATATGGCAGATGTGATCAACTGTTACAAGCAGCATATCACGACTAATTTCATCACTCCCAACGGCTTTAGAAGTAGTAGAAAGAATGCCTCTCTTAACATCGTCCTCTGAGATCTCTTGAAAAACAAAAGGGTCACGGTTAGGTTGGTTAGTCATAGCAAGTTGATTAATGGTTAACGTCTTCTCGATATCAGAAATTTGAACAGGCGGAGTTGAAAAATGTTGATTCAAGCAGTTGACATTGACGGACTCAAGAGACAAATGTTGTGATTTACCCACACCTAGCGACTTAAAAAACCTCCAAGTTTGAGCCGGTGTGCAATGTAAGATACATGAGTGGATATGGCGGCGCTTAGCATCTCTGCACATCCTATTACAGAGATTACGCAATTTTTTATAGGCTGCAAAATTAGTCTCAGTAGGATATCGCTTATATCTGTTCTTAGCTTTATTGCGTTTCGCCATTATTTTTTTGATTGTTGTAGTTAGCCAAGGCGCTGGCAAGTGCTTTACTCTGATTGGAACAGCGGGAGCGTGAATGTCAAATAATTGTATGATCTTGGAATTTAGTATTTGCAATTTTTCGTCTATTTTTGTGACATTGTATAATAAGGACCAATCTATGTTGACCAGGTCAGGGTAAAATTTCTCGTAATCGATATTTTTGAGATTACGCCTCCAGATTATCTTGGCTTTACGCCTAAGGAGTGACAAATTGTAACTGATGTATATGAGATCGTGATAGGAGAAAGGAGCAGTGAGTTGGCCGAAAGCAAGGATATTTTTAGGATTAGATACAATTATAAGATCGATGAGAGAAGGATTAGAGATAGGAGAAAAATGGGTTTCAGTAAGAGGAAGTATAGTCATATTTAGAGATTCTATTAAGGATTGGAGCTTATGTGATCGAGTATCTTGTTTGAGGAGACACGTATTAAGATCGCCCATTAGAATGGTATGCTCATAAGAAGGTGTAAGAGATTCAAGAAGAGATTCCAACGTGCTAAAATAGTTAACGTTTACAGAGGGACTATAAAGTACACCAAGAAGAACTTTGGAGTGATGAGAAATAATTTCAAGAAAAAGGAATTCAAGGTTACAGTCATCAGTATTAGGGGATTGTTTTATTATGTTGTAATAGATGTTACTTTTGAGATATATGCAAACACCTCCTCCTCTTTTACAAGTGCGATCGTTTCTAATGAGGTTGAAATTAGGAAGAGAGAAAAGGGATGATGAAAGGGACGGTTTCAGCCAAGATTCGGAAACTAAGATACCATCTATTTCAACGTTGCAAAAAGATGCCTGGAGATCAGAGTAATGAGCCGGAATACTTTGTGCGTTTATATGAACCAAGTTCAAAGAATTAGGATTTTTATTAAATATGCTATTAAGTTTGAAATCAAGACGCCCGGACTCGCTATCACAGGAAGCCAAACTAGAAGCACTAAGGAAGTCTTCATTTGAAGAACAAGAGAAGTAATCGTCGTCAAAGTTAAGAATACAATCACAATCAGACATAATAAATAAATAATATTAAATTAATTAAAAAAATAAATAAGTTCAATAATAATAATAATAATAAGCTAATTAGAAAATAAATAAATTTTTAAAAGTATATCAAATTTTAAAAATAGATAAAAATATTTTTGTTTTACAATATACTTAAAACTAAAATTAATAACAACAAAAAATGTATACTTTACAAAACTTAAACATAATAATTATCCTACATTAGCTGGCCTAACTTGTTTTTAACAAAACATCATAACAAAATAAAAATAAGAAAAATATATGAGAACAAATATTTTAAGAATTTAGGCATGTGATACATGTTGTACAGTGTACTGCAAGTATCCGAATGCACGATAATGACAGCTGAGGAAAACATTACAATATAAAAATATGCACATATCTGGTTACCGCTGCTGTTGTTTGTAATTGGTAAAAATTATAACAAGACTACTCAAGAAAAAAAAAGTGAAACCTGATATATAATTATTCAACATAATCATTCACGTAACCATTAAAAAAAACACTTAATGGAGATTTTATAATGAATATTCTAAGAGAGTGTACATAGAACTAATAACCTAATGATGTGAAAACTTACAAGTACGGAGGCCAATGGACCACTAGTATCACTTCACTATATTTTTACCGGGTCTTCGGGATCTAGATGGTTTCGGATCTTGTGATGTTGTCGCAAGAGGATATTTAGCTATCAATAAATGCAGTTCAGCAAGTGATGCAACGTTCTTGCGGCTTTTATCTGGCAGCGCAATGGTGATTGAACCTTCATGTGACCAACAATATTTCATCCCAAAATGTTTTCTGGCAGCGACGAAAATTTCCTGCCTTGATTTCGTCAGAAACTCTGATAAGGTTATTCCGGAGCCCTTAAGAGCAGTCTTGGAGTTCCATATTAAGTGCCTGGATTTTAAGTTAGTGAAGCGAACTAAAATTGGTCTAGGTCTGTCTTTCTTTGTCCCGAGGCGATGGGAAAAGTCAATACTCGATGTATCAAAGTCAGCTAAATTCATCTTCTCAGCAATCACAGTAAGGACTTTACTCTCAGTCTGCTCATCAGAATCTTCAGGAAGCCCATGAAAGAGCAGGACCTTTCTTCGTGACAGCATTTCATGCCTATCAAATCCAGCAGTGAGCAACTGGAGCTGTTGACGGAGCATAGATAAGGATTTCCACATTAAGTCCTTAAAAACCGTGTAATCAGCGGCTAGCGCAGAAATGTCACTTCCAGTGCTTGTGTTTTTAGTAGTAGTCTGACTTTGGACAAGAGACTTTTCAAAAACACTCATTCGAGACTCAAATAAAGCAACAATATCTTCCATGTTTTTTGACAGTTGAGTGTGTAGATCCATGGTATTGAAAATGGTAAATAAGATGTGAAAAATGTGAAAATATATATTTACCAGGTAATGTAGGACAAAAGAGTTAAATATTTAACATTACAAACTAATTTTTGCAATAAAAATATTAAAAAAAACTAAATTAAATAACAGGAGAAAATTTTTAATGTAACTTCTATATCTACCCACCCAAGAAAAAAAAAAAAAAATTTATTGGGTAATCAAAATTTATTTTAAAATATATCCGAAAATAACATTAAAAATTTAAGTAATAGTATAAAAAATGTTTTAAAAGACAAAAAAATCGAAAGTGCACATTACAAGACTTCCGCGATACCATTCAGACAAAGAGAGACCATAGCATTCCCAAGGAGGGTTGACGTCAGGCAGGCGGCCGGTCGTAAAACTTTTGCCAAATCCTATCAGCAGTACAGAAGATGTACTGCGCCGACCCCAAGTGATTGGGAAATGGGCAGGGAGAAGAAGAATTTTTCATTAAAAAAAATTAAGTGTAAAGGGAGAAAAGAAGCTGTCATTTATTTGATGTTATGTGAAGTTCCTCTCGATTATTTATGTTTTTTTTACTATGGTAGGTACCATTTTTTGTATCATATCAACATAATTTTTGGGTGAATCAAAAGTAACCTATATTTTTCAAAATTGAGTTTGCGATGAACAAAAACAACATTACGTGTCTTCAGATGAAATATTGTACCTAGTGTTTTAATATAATATAGATTTTACAAAATTTCTATTCGTTTGAGAAAAATGGTCTCTATCACTGAACAGAAGGAGGGGTTAAAACTTAAAACCAAAAAAATAAAAAAATATCTCTTAATATTATACGATCCCTTATAAATCATATATAGTCAATAATAAACAAAGAAAAATTGGACCCAGTTATGCAAAAAACAGCCACGTGCGTAAAAGTACCAACAGAGTTATAAGCATTTTATTATAAAAAATAAAATAATTATAAAAAATAAACAATACTTATATAAATATTGTTCAATTTTAAAATAACCAGAAAAACAACCCAAAATGTAACCCAAGCTTATAACTCTGTTGGTACTCTTATGCACATGGCTGTTTTTGCATAACTGGCTCCAATTATTAGCCGTGTTATAATTATTACCAACCAGATAAACTAGAGAAAGCCTTCCATCATTCGATACGTCCGAAAACCCGACTGCATCAGACCGCATTCTCGAAATATTTTCCTGAATTTACTGCCTCATTAGTATACTAATTGCCCTTATATCGGTTGTGTATATCCTAGAACGTACTCGAATAGCTTGTAAATTCTGGACTAACGACTGTAAGATATAGCGTACAGTGTATGTGAAAATTAAAGGAATAATTAACTTTTGCTGACAACCGCTACAGTAGAACTGTTTGAAATAAAGTGCAACATCTATGCCTATAATAAAATTGTAACTAAGCCGAATCTGTGCATTAAATATTTTCTGGAAAATCTTATTGAAATAAACATTATTATCGATACAGAGGCCGAAGCTATAGTTTTTAGAATTTTTGTCTGTCTGTCTGTCTATTACCGCATCACAGAAAAACCACTGGAGGGATTTTGATGAAATTTGGTATGGTGATAGCTGGTTATCCGGGTCAATATAAAGGATACTTTTTACCGCAGGAAAATATCTCATTTCTGAGAAAAAATACAAAAACTGCAAAGGAAGAGTATATTAAAATATGTAAAACCTAAGAATTTGGTTTTTGGTCATTTGAACGCGGGCGGAGCCGCGGCTAGTAGTTTATAAATTCTTTCACAAAATCACTATATATTATCCTAAATATGTTAAATTAATATCCTAAATAATTAAATCTTCGCAAAAATCTTGTTAGAGGTATTTTCACAATAACATGATAACGTCTAGAACCTAAAATACTCTGTAACACATCACTATCGTCCTTTCAGATGACATCGTAAGCCCAACAAATGCGATGTGCCTGTGAAATATGCTTCCAAATAATAAAATTAGACCCGCCATATATCTTGCAAACAAGTGTTGACATCGCGGTTATATAAATATTTTGAAGATTCCTTGTCTTTCCTTCTAAAACAAAGGCTGTTATTAATTGTATTGTTCCATTAGATCTGTTTTGGGAGTTAAATATTAAAAAGCACCAATCAGTTCTATACTGATAGTATTATAAAAGTAAGACTGGATTTGTAGTTTAGTTTTTATGTTTTAAAACTAATATGTTATTATCTAATAATTAATACTCCCTTACATTTACGCGGATATTGAATTTTTTAAATAATACTGTCTTTTCTGATTTTTTATGAGTAGGTACTATATCTGTAATAACTATATAGTACCTTTGACACGTCTAAAATCTTTGTATGTCATGACCATAATTGCTGTAAAGCATTTGAAACGTTGGGAACCAAAAATTAAAATAAATCCATAAAAAATCCGGAAAGATAGTTTTATGTAAAATTTAACAATTAAACAGTTATATTTTCATTACAATAATATATTACATTTTTTTTTACTAAATTTTGTAAATTATAGTGGCTTACAATATTTTCCATGCAGGTATCAATCCTGATTATAATTAGCTAAATGTCATTATAATTGGTCGATTAGCTGTGATGATTAGATGTGTGATGAGATTTCAGCCATAATAGCTAATCTTACTGAGGATAGCCATTTCGTCGCCTTAGTACTTATTTGTTTAAACTTAGTACTTTTTTGTTTTATCAATTCTTTCTGTGGTTTATAGTAGAGAAATAAGAAAAAAGATATATATATATATATATATATATATATATATATATATATATTCATATATAGATAAATTTCATATATGTATTATAGTGTTGTACAAGTGATATGCGTAAATGTATTTCCCAACATAAAAAAAAGAAAAAAGGAGATGTTATAGTGCTCGAATAGATGTATTGATATTATACCCACCTTCCATCACTCATGCTTAGTAAAATACAGCAATATACACAAAATCCTAAAAAAATAGCTTGCGAAAATGCTCACGATTTTCTTTTATAAAGATTTAGTCTTACAAATAAAGAAATTCTACCCATAAACCCTTTAAAGTAAATCAGCAAAGCAAGAACTGATAATTGAAGTCAGATTAAAATTAGATTTGGATGGAAGAGTTGTGTTTCCTTTAGAAAAGCTTGTCGGTTGAAATGATAATATTACTGGTAGATTAAGTACAGTACAAAGGAAAGAGACGCTTTGTTAGGAACATGGCCGACATGAATTGAACTTTTGAAATTCTTGTTTCGTTTTAAGATAACTCTAAGACCCATTTAATAATTGGAAATGAAAAGATTGGTTGTAGCATGTTCCTTAATATGCATGCAATGTTATTTATTTATATAATCATTAAAGAATATGTGAGTTTACGTATGTTACATATTATTTTATTACCTAATCTGCACAACACCTACCTACCGTCTTTGCCACACTCTTTCCTCTACGTCAAGGATGCCTGGAAGAGATCACTTTTAGCGCTAAGGCCGCCTGCTGTACATTTTTCCTTTCTGTATTATTTACGTTGTTTGTTTGTTTAATAAGGTGTACAATAAAGAGTATTATTATTATTTAAAAAGATTAGTCCTTACTGACTCTGTCATTCTTAATGTCAAATACACGGAAAATGGTATTTAGCTTTAAGTTAAAAATAAGAAATATATTTATTAGATTTTTTTCAAAATTCACCCCTTGAAAGGGTAAAAGGGTGTAATAAAGTTTATATGGGCAAAAAATGATTTATGATCAGGATTACTTGGCAGTGGGTAGGACACATCGCTCACATAACGGATGTTCGTTGGAAACGGAAAGTTCTCCAGTGGCGGTCACGTGCCGGAAGACGAAGCGTGGCCTCCTACAATGTAAGCCGACGGCTTGGTCAAAGTCGCTGGAACCTACTGGATGCGGATGGCGCAAGACGGGCTGTCGTGAAAATCAGAAGTGGTAAAGGCATAATCTTTCATATAATTCGTAATAAAATGTTCAAAAATAAACAAACATACTATAATATGGTATGTTTTGATTGTTATTATCTCAATTGATTGACGAAATTTACTCACAGAGGAGTGTGTCGGGGGGTGAGCGGCTTTATTATTTTGTCTATAGGGGCTGGTTAATGAAACCTCGAAGCACTTTTCATCATCACACTTTATTTTACTGTCCGCCACCATACAGGAAAACTTTTAACAAGAATGGAAGAAGGAAGTATTGCCAGTTACAAAAACATAATAATTACATATAATTATAAAATTGTTGCCAACTTTAAAAATGTACATGTTGGAATTGCCAACAGAGTGGTTCACACTAAAAAGGACAACAAGTAAAGGCCAATATAAGGAAAATGTATAATATATGTATGGCATATTTTAATTATGTAAAAAAGGCCTTGCAAAATTGGAACTAACCTACTCTCGCATCACCTATTTATTTTCAACAGTATCTGTTAATATACTTGTCTCAAACTAAAAATATTATAACATACAGTATTTATTCTTAAATATAGCTATTTAGCTATACTAATTTTACTTGAGAATTATTTACAGACGAAAGTTGTTGAGACTCCAGTCGATTAATTAATTATTAAACTTTGACATTTATTTGTTTAAAGTGATGAAAATCACAGCTTTTTGTACATATACTTTTAATGAAATAATAATATTGTCATGTTAATTTGTCCATGACATTTCATTTGTATTTATCAGAATATTTAATTTAGTGATTTTAGTTATAAAATTTACATTTACAATTCAATTTGACGAACGTTTTCAATGAAAATTATATGAGAATTTCGCTGTCAATATTTAATTATAACACTTATTGCGTTTTGATTAAAATTGTTGCGTCGAATTTATTTCTGATTGTATTTAAATAGGCCGTACTTAATTATTACTTGGATCACTTTGATCGTCGTTCACACGATCGTGTAAATTACATGAAACTAGCGATTCTTCTCAACTTGAC